TGATTGACAAAGCAAAATATAAAGTAGTGTACGTGATAACTGAAAAAACAAAATGATGTTGATTTTGTGGGCTTTGAGAATTTAAAAAGCAAAATAATGATAAACTCGTGGACTTTGATGACAAAACTGAGGTTTCTGCTGTGGTTCCCTTGCTTCAATAACGGTGACTGTTTTCTATAGCTCCTCATTATTTCACAACAAAACTGTGAGGCGTTATTTTCTACCTCCACTTAAGCTCAGAGAGGGGACCGCTCGCTGCTGCTGGGGAGCAAACGTTGGAAACTGCCTCCTCTGTCCCAAGGCAGGGCCCTGCACCCTCATACCCCCCCTCTGGGGGGCTGTGCTTTCGTGGGTGACTTTCTAGAATGGTGCCAAGGCACTCAGTGATCATGTTTTCTTTTCTTAGACATAGCTTTTATTTACTTCACACACCACTTGTAAACACACACAAAGGAAAAAATACAATTAAAATATGGTAGGTAAGATTCCAAAAGCTCCACAGGGTCATCTGCTCAGTATTTACTGAATAAGTGACTAAATCTAGTGAGCTTACACTATTTCAGAAGAATTTTAAAACATCAACACAACATATTTGCATTTAACTTAATTTGGTTTCACATTCAAACTGTAGGCCTACTGAGTTACCAAGGAACTGTTTAAACATTTTCTTCCCCTGAATTGGGGATGTGAATTTTTTCCTTAAGTGTCAGTGGTGCTCCTGAAGAACAGCAAGTCCTGCTTTTCCATTTTTGGTCTGGCCATGTCTGGCAAGTAGTGGACCATTAGTAAGCCTGGGCAGAATGCCAGCGCACTCACCAATTGTGAAGAAAGTAAAGGCGATATTACCAACTAGGTTGTTGAGGAGAGGTTGACTGCAGTAGCGGGAAGATCTGGGCCTAAAAATCAATGCACAGAGTCATGTGTTTATTACTCAGTAGAAGAATCTGCATGGTAAGCACAGCTCAGAAGGCAATAATCTTGAACTCTAACCCTAATTCTGGCACTGGCTTCATTTGGCTACAGCAACTCTTCTTAAAACCTTGGTTCCTTCATGCTGCAAATTCAGGCTGTAGAGAGCCCATAACAAGATTAAGAGTTATTAACATCTGTAACTGGTAGTCAAATAATATTTGCCATTTCTTTAATTCATATTAGTTTGACATTTTGAGGATAAAGTATTCCGTGGCCATTCCAGCCTCCTGGAGTAAGGGTAAGCTGTGCTGCCCCGGCTTCCCATAGGAGAAGCTGCAGGTTTAAATCAGGCCAGTTGTAGTGAACATTGCGGTTTCCACTCTTTTTTTTTTTAAAGATTTGTTTTATTTATTTGTGCGTACAAGAACTGGGGTGTAGGCCAGAGGTGCAGGGAGTGGGGGATGAGAGGATTCACCAGAGACAGAGAGGGGAACAGAACAGGCAGACTGACTGAAGTACACTGCTGAGGGGAGCCTCGGGTGAGACAGGAGAGGTCTGCTGTGCCATATGGATCAGCTCCCTGGTCGGGGATCAAACTCGTGCTGCAGTGACTGCAGATAGCTTCACAGTGCTGAGTCTTAACCCCTTGCACCACCAGGGGGGCTCCTTCTTCTTGACACTTAAGTGGACTCTCAGTTTTTGTGTTTTTTGAGAATTTCCACCTTTTTTTTCTAAGATTTATTTATTTATGCACACAAGAGCTGAGGTACAGGCCAGAGATGCTGGGGGTGAGAGGATTCACCAGAGACAGAGTGGAGAATAGAACAGGCAGATTGACCGAAGTACACTGCTGAGGGGAGCAGCAGGCGAGCCAGGAGAGGTCTGCTGCACCATGTGGGTAGCTCCCTGGCCGCCTGGGGGATCAAACTCGTGTTGCAGAGGCTGCAGATAGCTTCATAGGTTGTGTCTTCACCCCTTGTGCCACCAGGGAGGCCGGAATTTCCATGTTTTTGGAACTAGAATTTTTTATGACTATCAAATTGCTTTTGCTGCGTGTGTCCAGTGACCAAATTATTAAGTGACTGACATTTTCTGCCAAGACTAATTTCCGTCATAGAATCTGAAATAACTTATCAAGTCATGCTCTGCTTGGGCGTGCCTGTGCTGCCTGCAGCCCTGCAGACATTAGCTAATGCTGTGCTGTACAGACTGGCCTCTAGAGAATGCATAATTTCAAACAGCAGAGTCCTCATCATCTTCCATTTAATGACTTCTTGTGCTAGAAAAAAATGTGTCGGTTAAAAGTTAAAGTCAATCTGGCCAAATCCCAGCTAACAGGGCAGAAACAATGGTGCAGGCTCAGTTAAACATGTAACAGGAATGGCAGAGAGCTCCCGACTGTCCCTACAGGTAAGACATGCGCTGAGATGCCAGGTGGACCAGGGGAGGGGGAGCTGATGAATGAGCTTACCTTAGCAGGACGTAGAGCTGAACACCCACAGTGGAGGCACCAAGCACGAACACTGTCACCTGGCTGTAGGGGACACAGCAAGGTACCTTTCACGTGATTGGTTTAGTGATAAAACGGTTTCACAAAACCAAATCAGGCTCTTCCATAATCATGTTCCCTGCAACCACTGAGATTAAGTTTTAAACACAGCAAAGATGCAGTGAGACCCGTACCGGTAGAACAAAATTGTGTCTGTTAACCCTGTGCTGAGAACACCAGCCACCTTCGCCGAGCTCCTGCACGGAGCAGGCGCTGTTGATGCTGGGCTCCAAGGAATCTTCAGGTGCGCATTTCTCTTACCATGACTGTAAATGCTGTGAGACAACCCTCAAGGAATAGTAAGAACTAATCATATTTAGTAGGCAAGTGTATAGGGCATTTTTAATTCACTTTCTCATTAAAGATGCACAAAATCCTATGAGGTAAGGACTTTGGCTTCCCACTTTATAAATGAGAAAAATCACTAAAGAAGTTTAAGTGTCTTGTCCAAGGACAAACTCCTAGTAGTAAGTGGTAGAGCTTGACCCAGGTCCGAGTGTGCCAGCTGTACGTCCAGCCTGCGCCAGCTCTGCCTCCGGCCAGATGGTCCACACTGCGTGTAACCAGTAGGCTGAGGGCAGACTTCCCCAACACGACTCAAGACAGGTCTGTGGTCCTGGTTCAAGCATTTGTGAGACCACCCACTCAAGATTACATGCACAGTTTCAGAAAATCCTCGTTGAGCAATAGCTGTATCTCTGTCGTTACCGTAAGCTGTGTTATTCACCCTGATTATTTTATTAATTGGGTTTGGTGCTGAATGACTGTACAGTGTTTGTAGAAGTCAAATCTGCCTTCCAAAGATGAAGCCTCATCCCCAGTGAAGGTCCTGAGAGAAATAGGCAATTTCAGCTTATACCCCCAGAATATTGGTGGCAATGGCACATTGTTAGAACAAGAATATAGTTGCATGCTTAGCGTTATGTTTCTGAAAGGAGGAGCAACTTTTTCCAGGTGTAAATTCCAAGTGGTTGTCAAGTCGGTCATGTTGTTTAACAGTTGGCCAACGTAGACGTAATTACTATGTGTGTTCTGAAATGTGACAAAGGCCAAGCAATTACTATCCATTTTTAAAAAGTTAATGTTTAAAAAACTGGCTTAATGCTTATGAAATGTTTCATTAGTGTTTACACATCAGTGTTTTTAAATTCTAAGAAAGTCAGTGCTTGTAAAATTAAAAGTACATTTTAGCAAAAGTTCAAGGCCACCTCAAAGAAGAAGTGGACTTGTCACCGTGGGCTAGGGAGGCACTTACAGCCTGAGCTGGTGAGAGCGGGGCAGCCAGCAGTGCAGGCGATAGGCAGAGTGGGCCAGGCAGAAGTGGATCATGCTGCCGCTGGTCCTGGAGCACCTGGAGCAAGCGAGGGAGAGCCAGAACAGTCCTGTTGGAGCTCCCAGACGGCTTCTTCGCCTGCCTGACCCCCTTCCCTGCACACCTGTACCCTGCAGGGAGGGATGCAGAGGTGGGACTCTCCGTGGAGAGGGTCAGCCCTGTGGTAGGAACTCACTGTAACTTAATCCTTCAGTGGTTTTGAGGGTTCAGAGTCTAGTGTAAGCTCAAGTTGGCTATATTCATGGGATAAAGAGAACTGAGCTCTTGGATATTTGAGACAGGCCGTGAATGTAACAAAAGAGAAAGACATCTGCCTTCACCTGGAGATCTGCTCCCCCAGCCCTTCCCCAGGACAGAACCTGGAAACCTGAGCTCATCCCCAAGGCGGGGCAGGACTCCCAGCTCTTAGTTTCATCCTGACTCTGAAGGCAGGGTCCCTGGAGGACCTGTCCTTCCTGCTCTTGGTCTCACCCCCTACACCCCAAACTCACAGCTCACGCTCCCTTGGGGAATGGTGCCTGAAACCTGAGTTGGGCAGGTCTGGGGCCAACACTGGGCTCCTGGTGAACTCAGCCCCTCCAGCAGGCCCTGAGAGCATGTACAGTAGCTGGCAGGAAACCTCAGTTTCTGTGTGGGTTCGGGATATGGTAGGGATATTGCATTCACCACCCCGTAATACCACAGGGTACTTTGCATAGGAATTGGAGGAAGGGGTAGCAATGAGGGGGGTTGGAATAAGCCCCTGGCATCATCTTTGGGATGAAAATTGAAAGTTTGGATGTTTAAATTTTTTTTTTAAGATTTTTTTTTTATTTATTTATGCATAGAAGAACTGGGGTCTAGGTCAGAGGGTGGAGGGTAAGGGGATTCACCAGAGACAGAGTGGGGAACAGAACAGGCAGACTGACTGAAATACACTGCTGAGAGTAGCAGCGGGCGAGGCAGGAGAGGTCTGCTGCGCCTTGTGGGTCAGCTCCCTGGCCGGGGATCGAACACATGCCATAGATGTGGTATCACTGAGACTTAATCCCTAGGTCACCAGGGAGGCCCTGAATTTACTTTCTTTTTCTTTTGCAGACAGGGGAGGTGTCAGAGTTTTCCGTTTGGAGCAACTACTTCAAATTCTTGGTATGGAAAATTCAGCAAAGACAGATGTGGTTCTCCTTGCCTGTGGCTCCTTTAACCCTATCACCAACATGCACCTCAGGTTGTTTGAGCTCGCAAAGGACTACATGAACGGGACAGGTAGGAGCGGTAACCAGAAACAGGGATAGAGGCCAAAAACACACTCCTTAAAATATGGCCCTTTGGGCTGTCTTGGCCTGAGGGAGCTTGAGAATGTGGCAGAAGCAGTAAGGTCATTCCTACCTCTCCTCCCCCCAAAGCAGGTCGTGATCTCCTGTAAGGGGCGCCCTCCCTGTACTCCAAGGGACAGCCCATCCTTACCTCTGAGAAAAAGAGAGGCTGAGAGGAACCCGAGCAGCCTGGTCTGCCCTCTCTCTGCAAACCTAGTGTAGAAATGTCAGGTTGCACTGTTTCTTAGGGTCTTTGTTTCTTGATAAGGGCCCCCATGTCACATAAACCTCGTGTTACGTGAGCCTGTCTGCTTTTCTCTTATTAATCTGTCCTTGTCAGTTTAATTTCAGATCCAGCCAGGGACCCTAAGAGGGTCAGTGAACACCTTTCCTCTCCTACATGCAGTTTTATTGTGTTTGCTTACACAAATGACCGATCTGTAACTGAAAGGCCCATGGGTGCTCACGCACAGATAATCCTCATCACCAGGAGCGGATGTCAGCATCAAGATGTGTTTGGCCCATCACACTGACAAAAAGCTTAAAGCCTGATGGTGTCAAATATCAGAGGTTGGGAAGAATTGGGCTCTGCCATGCCCGCAGGGGGACAGTGCAGGCTGATCAGGCTCCCCCTAAGGGAACCCCAAGCTGCAGGGGGGAAGTGTTTTGGGCACTGAGTTTTGAGTTCCGGTCAGGGGAGGAAGGGCTCTGGGGGGGTGGGATGGTTCCCAGCGTCCGTGTGGGCATGCGGATGTACGCAGGATGGCTGACGAGCCTGAGATGGTTGACTTGATGTGACGAGTGTTTTACCACAATTAAGAACAAATCCATCTGAGTCCCTGTTTAAAAGGGCCTCTGTGATTATTAAACCAGAGGGACCACTTTGTTCTCTGTGCAGAAATCTAATTTTATTATCAAACCGAACTCTCTGTCCAGGAATATACAGAGTCATCAAAGGCATCATTTCTCCTGTCAGTGACGCCTACAAGAAGAAGGGACTCATCTCTGCCTATCACCGGGTTATCATGGCAGAACTTGCCACCAAGAGCTCGACCTGGGTGGAAGTGGACACGTGGGAGAGTCTTCAGAAGGAGTGGACAGAGACGGCAAAAGTGCTAAGGTGCTGACCTGTGGGGTGGTCGCAGGGCCTGGGTGTTCCAGAGCTTTCCTGTGGTTCATTAGGTTTTGAGATGCTGGCCCGCTCTGCACTGTCTGTCCGTCTGTTAGAGAAAGAGGCTGGTCTGTCTGTGCCCCGAGAGGGCCAGGCAGAGCCCAGGACAGTGTTACTGCCCTTCATCCCTTAGGTGTGGAAGAGGGGGCAGGTAAGTTAAGGGGCAGAGGGTGCATCTGTTTGGTGTACTTCCCTGACACGGGGGGTACTTCCCTCAGGGGGTGCTGAGGTGTACCTTTCTGCTCACACCTTCAAAACAGTTCCAGTTAAAGGTTCAGAAACAAGTGAGTAAAATCTAATCACTACTTCATATTACCTTGAATATAAAATAAAAAGAATATCAGACCACTAGGCCCGGTATCTCCTTAGAGCCCTGGCCCTTCTGGTTGTGACCGTAGCAGTCAGGGCTCGGTAGGAAGTGGAGGCCACTCTGAGTTCTGAAGCAGAAAGGGACTTAGGTGCTTCAGTGCAGGAACAAGCCCCGGAGGTGTGGGCATGGGCTTTGTCTGAGGGTCTTACTCCCTTAGCTGCTGTCTGAGTTCAGGAGACTGTGCCCATGTCTGCTTCCCCTACTGCCATTCAGCTCAGAATCCCACTGCTGGTGACCGGACGTGGACTGGAGAGCAGGCCCCCCACTGTAGAGCTTACTGTCATGCTCCCGGCTGCCACCCAGCCTCGCATGGCTGAGTCTCATCAACAGAATTTCAGTCATACCCAGAACCTGCTGCCAGCACCTCTGGGGATGCCTACAGGGTGGGGGGACTGGGTATCAAGCCAGAGGGTGAATTCCCACGCAGCCACTTGTCAGGCGCGTGACTTTCAGGCTTGGCTGGGGAAGGGGCCTCCCCTGTTCATTGGCCAAAGATTTTCCCATCAGACACCCGGCTCCCGTGTCCCTCCTTACCCAGCCCTTTGGCATCATAGTAACCCTGCCATCTTACATATTCAACATGGCTGCCAGGTGGGAAGGGACTCGGGGGCACAGAGGACACAGCTGGCTTCCTCAGGTGCAGCTTGTGTTACTCGGGTAACTGTTGTGAAGCAGCGGGCATCCTGCTACCAGCCCAGAGTAGAGCCAGATACAAACCCTGTTGTGCACCCTTCACCCAGGTCTCAGGCACTTCCTCCTGCTCCCCTCCCCACTCCCACCCCGTCCTTATCACTGGGGCTGTGGTCCTTCATTGCTAGGTCAAGCTACACCCCTCAGTGCTCAGAGTGTGGGCTCCAGAACCAGGCTCTGGTTGCTGAACGGGTATCAAACGGGTGGGTTCTTGAATCCCAGCGATTGAGGCATCATCACTGGCACACTGGGCTGAAGATTCGCAAGCTCAGGTTTATTGCAAGAGACTCCTGAGAGCAGGAGGGGGGTCCAGGGGAGGAGCCCAGAGCTAGGGTGCTGGGTTCTTTTTTTTATAGGGCTTTCTGGGCACTCTCAAAAGCTTCTTGGGGCTTTTTTCTTCTTTGGGGTACTTTCCCACTGCCCCCTGCCCCTCCACTGCCTTACTTTGTCTCCTCGCCCCCTTCTCACCTAGAGGTGTAAGGTTGTTCCTTCCCTACACCTCTTTTGTGGTTGCCAGCTCATGCCTGCCAGCTCAGGAGCTGAGCTCATGCCAACCAGCTCTGTGACTCTCAGCTTTTGCCCACAAACCCACCTGCTCCTTCAGCCAGTTAGCCTTTGCCCACAAGCCCCCTGCTCCTTCACTCTGGGCTTCAAACCCTGACCCTACCACTCACGCACTAAGCGGCCTTGGGCTAGGCTTTCACTCTCTGGGCAAGACGAACACTTGATACAGCGATGGCAATAACACAGTCACTTTAAGATAATGGGAGGATTCATTCAGTTAACTTGTTATTAAACGCTTCCTACTCCCAGGGACTCTGCTGGAACTGGAGTTGCAGCTCTCTTCCTTCTCATCACAGGATTGATAATATTTATGACACAGAATGTTCAATTTTAATCAGATAATCTTTGCAAAGGGTGATGTAGTGTTGGACACCTAGAAAATAACTTGTGTTAGTTGTGGTAATGACGACACAAACACCTGAGACTTAGAACAGGAGGAGACCCCATTTGCTGTGCTGCCAGGACATCCTTAGCCTTCCATCCCGAGGGCCCGCAGTGGGTACTACAGCCGACTGACCTGTCCGCTCTTGACCCAGCGGTACTGTGGATCATCGTGACCACGGCACCTGGGGTTCCGAGTTTTCTCTATCACCCAGCTTCCAGGATCAGGCCAGAGGCTTTTCGGCGTCTCCAGAAGGACAGCACTTGAGTTGAACACAGTGAGACAGGCTGTTCTATGGCTTTGTTGTTTTGTAGACACCATCAAGAGAAACTGGAGGCCAGTAACGGTGGTCACCAGCAGGACTCACCTGTGCTGGAGAGGCCTGGGCGGAAGAGGAAGTGGGCTGAACAAAGACAAGATTTTAGCCAGAAGAAACCCCTTGAGCCCAAAACAAAAGGTCTGTATGTTTGATCAGAACTCACTGGTAAACCAGAGTTGATTAAACAACTAAAGTTGATAAGATTCTAGAGCCGTGCCAGCTCCCTGGTCAGCCTGTGCATGGGCCTTACTCTAGGCCGGGCAGAGGGAGGGTAAAGGCCCCTGAGCTTACTTCTCCTCAGGGGCTCCTAGCTGCCGAGTGACCCAGACGTCTTTGGGGAATCTGAATGTGATTGAAAACTTTGAATCCTCTATCCAAAAATACACAGACATCCGTGTTGATGCAGGGAGTGTTTAGACAAGCCAACCCGGAAGCTCTCTGTTCTCCCCAGGTGGGCCGAGAGTGAAGCTGCTGTGCGGGGCAGATGTACTGGAGTCCTTTGGTGTCCCCAACCTGTGGAAGAGTGAGGACGTCGCCCAGATCGTGGGGCACTACGGGCTCGTGTGTATCACCCGGCCTGGAAATGATGCTCAGAAGTTCATCTATGAGTCGGACGTGCTGTGGCGGCACCAGAACAACATCCACCTGGTGCACAACTGGATCACCAGCGACATCTCATCCACGAAGGTGCGGCAGGCCCTCCGCAGGGGCCAGAGCATTCGCTACCTGGTACCGGACCTCGTCCAGGAATATATTGAAAAGCACAGTCTGTACAGCGCCGAGAGCGAGGAGAGGAACGCCGGGGTCATCCTGGCTCCGTTGCAGAGAAACACGGCAGAAGCTAACGCCTGAGGCGCCTTGCAGCTGGATCTCTTGGACTCACTTCCCTTCTCTTGGAGTTACTAGCCAGATGATTTGAGATCACCTGGCTAGTAACTGGGGCAAGGAATTGTGACTGTTTCATAAACTAAAGCGTAATCGTTTGGTCGGAATCAGTATTAGGTTAAAGTCAGTATTAGGTTAAAGTTTTTTTCTTTGTATCAGAAGCTGCTAAGATGAATGTTTCCCTATGAGTTTTCTTTTCCTTCAGAACATACAGACCCCTTTATCTTTAAGAGACTAGCAGCACTAAAACCAGAAGAATATTCAAACAAGCTCACTACAAATCAGAAGTCCAAAAGGACATCTTGACTTTACCACAAAGAGAAGCAAAGTAGGAAAAGCCAGAGCTCGATAAGAGAGAACTGCCACAGTTGAATTACAAGCCTAACCTCGCTTCTAGAGGGAGCTCAAAGCTTGCCTTCTCCGGGCGGCCTCCCCTCGCCAGCTCTTCTCTACAGGCTCTGACTACAGTGGAACTTCCAAATAATAATTAAAGTCATAGCTTGATAGAAAATCCAAGTTCGAAATGTGGTTTGCTGCTGATTAAATTTTGCGGAAGTTTTACCAACTGGCAAAGCAGAAAGAGCAGAAATAGTTCTTTATAGAATAGTTTTAATGGTTTGTGAAAAGTATTCTGTGATAGAAATGGGACTACACTAAATTTCTAGTAAAAATAGAGTAATGTATCTTTTTACAATATGTATTATAACGACACCACTCTAGTTGGGCAGTTGTGTGGTCAGGGTTGAATGCAGTCTAGGAAGGGGAATTCCAGACAAGGGTACACTCAACTCGTGACCGACTCTGACCTTGGCAGGGGCCACTCTGGGCATCACCGGCCCCCAGCCTGGCCCCACCACTTTCCGGCTCTGAGCAGATGCCAGGTTAGCACCTCAGATCAGTCTGCCCCAGCTTAGGTTTTTGGAGTTAAAGTGTTTGGAGTTAGAGCAGTGCTGAGAAGAGCAATCTCGGTGAAGCGATCCAGTTTTGATTCTTTTCTCCTGGGAGACTGCCTTGTTCAGCTGAAGAGTTGTGTGACCCATGGAAAGATCCCAACACTAGAAACTTCTCTCCCACTGTGGTGCTTTCCTGGCCGGCAACATCCAGGCCCTACTCAGCTGTGTGGATGCTGACCTCCCACGAGACCTGGTCAGGGCAAGACTGTCCTGTTGTGCTATTTATGGAGCTAAAACTTTGTCCACAGAACAAGCTGCTTGACTTTTTGTCCCAGTCCGGAGAATGCTGCCTGGTAGCGGGGGTCCCGGCATCCGGGAGGGAACTTCCTCTTTGAATAATGGAAATTAGAACAATGAATTTCCATTGAGGAAGGAGAAAATACACCATTGTTTATTCCCCACCGGCCTTTTTCATCATCTGCTGTTGTAATGTGAGTGGAGAGGGCGGGTGTGCGAGGCCGGTTTTGTCTCTTTGTGTGATGCTGGTGTTTTCTGGATTGTGCCCTTTGCCCCTCACACTGCCTGTGTGATCTGAATGCAGCACGTGAACTGGAGCAAAAGCCCTTCCCCGACAGATTCGGTCCATTGGACGCACAGCTACGGAGAGCCTGTCTGCCTGCTTAGGGGGCGGCAGGGCTTTCAGAAGGATGTCCTTGTGGGTGGTCAGGGTGTAGAGATGGAGTCAAAGGGTGATGTCGGTCCCTCTCCTTCCATCAGAGGAGGGTCTGCCATCTTGACAAGGATGGCAGCAACGGGGTAGGAGGGGGCATTCTCTAAGGTCAGCGTGCCCATGTGAGGCAGGCCTGCTTCCTTCCCACATCTGTGATTCACTTCTCTGGAAACCCAGAAGTTGCCTTATTATGAAACAGGCTCCCTTAACCTTCATTCCGGTGCCTCAGGACATCCGTCCTGCTGCCATGCTCATAATTGTCCCCAGAGGCCTCCTGATTTGAAATCTTCATGGCAGCATCCAGCCCAATGAGGACTCGGGAACAGCATTGATCTTTGAAATCTATACATAGTTGCCAGTGGTGCTGCTTAAATTTATAATGTCAACACCTGTGAGCTCTTGCTGTGAGCTGGGTGGGTGCTAATGAGTCAGTACCTTGTGTCATATGGGGAGTGGCCCAGACAGGGCTGAATGGGCAGCCTGTCTTCAGACTGTGCTCTTAACCACTCGACTTACTCTGTCAGCATATTACTTCTCAGAGAGTGAAGTGTCAGCCTGATCATAAATGTTTCATCCACACTAAGTGAACGAGTATAAATAAAACTTTCAACTCTGGAGTCTGATGTTGGCATCTGATGGGTCAGGTCCATACATGTGGGCCAGTAGAACTTGGAACTAGGGCAGCCAAGGCTTGCCTCGTCAGAGGGAGGAGGTGATAGGAGCCACCATCACTCTTCGCCAGCAAAGAGGAAAGCGAAGGTACCCAGATCCCCTTCTGTTCCTGAAATGCCAGCCTGCTGCTATTGCCTGGGAGACAGCCTGGGGGAAGCTCCGTCCTGGGGGCAGCCACTTGACTGAGACCCTTTCTGTAAACACACAATGGGCTCCGGGCCCCTCCCAGCCCTGAAATGTCTGGGCCTGATGGAGTCTTGGCACCAATGCTGGCTTCTCGCCACCCTGAGCTGCCACCTGCCTCTTCCCTTCTGAGGTATTTCTGGAAACTATCGCTATGGGAAGTGCCAAGGGGAGCATGCCCATGAAGCCAGCTTCCAGTTTCCACCACCAGATGGCCTCCTGGGGTGGGCAAACTGCTGCCTCTGAGCATCAGCCGGGACTCCCCAGAAGCACTGCTGCAGGCTTCCTAAGTGAGAGGACGCTCAGGCCCCCAGGCCAAGAAGCCAGTGCCAAGGACGGGCCTCCAGGTGGAGCCACTTACCCTACAAGTGACTTGTTCATCTGACATTCAGGTGTGGGGGTTGTTTTTGTTTTTCTTTCTCTCTTTCTTCTCTTTCTTCTCTTTCTTTCTCCAGCAACTTAGATGGGAGGGTTGGTGGAGAACAGGAACACCACATGGGGGTCCTCTCTGAGGTGGGGCGGGCGGTGGGGACAGTGCGGAAGGCCTCACTGAGGCTCCAGATAAGGTTCTCTCTGGTGATGGCGGTGCCTGGCACAGCCTGGGGAGTTCCCTGCTCTATTTTGACCATTCTCAGGGGAGATCACCCTCTTTCTGATAAAATTGCCACCTCAGTTGAAGCAGAGAATTCAGCTCCATGTCTGACCAAGTATATGTGGCTATAGAAGGTCAAGCTGCCCGATAAGTTTTCCCCACCGGTGAGTAACAGGCCCCCAGTTACATTTTAAGACATTAGGGAACTTAACATAGACAAAATTAGGTCATAGTATAATGAGCCCAACTTCAGCTGGAACTTGCCAATCTCGATGCATCTATACCCATCACTGTTTCTGCTCGGCTGGTGGCTTGAAGCTCACCCCACTGTGTGGTCTCACCCATTGGTACTTCAGCACGAGCCATGCTTGAGTCTAACTTACCTGCTGTATCAATTGTACTAAAGCAGGAGAGTCTGAGAAGGGAAGGACAGTTAAGGAAGTGTCTTTTAAAAATAACTTGGCCTGGGCTGCCTTGGTGGTGCGATGGTTAAGCGTCAGCACTATGAAGCAATCCACAGCCAGGGAACTGACCCACACTCACAGCGACCTCTCCTGTCTTGCCCACTGCTCCCCTCAGCAGTGTGTTTCAGGAGATCTGCCTGTTCTGTTCCCCACTCTGTCTCTGGCGAATCCTCTCACCCCCACACACCTCTGGCCTACACCCCAGCTCTTGTATGCATAAATAAATAAAATAAATCTTTAAAAAAAATCACTTGGCCCTATTTAGTCTGCCTCAGCGCCTCAAAAATACAGCTTCATTAAAATAAGTGAGGATGAGGACCCGGGGTTTGATGGCTCACTGGCCTCTTTCTCTCTGTAATGCTGCACACGGGGAGGCAGAGGAGGCTGGTGCTCTTCGTGCCAGCTCATGTGCTGTGTTGACTTACCTTCTTCAAGGCAGATTCTTGGGTCCAAAGTTTCTCTTGATGGATAGGCTTTTAAATAGTGCTGCTAAAAGTATCAGTGTCACCAGAGCAGAAGACCCGAAGTTCTAGCGACACCATGCTTGTCAAGAGAACGGTGTGTGTAAAGCAGTGGTCTTGGTAAGTACACTCAGCGGGCTGTGCACGCTCGAACAGAACCCTGATTGACTTGGCTTGTGCCTTCTAACAGGTCAGAAAAGGCAAGTTGCTGAAGGACACAAGTACCTGAATTTTATTTATCATCTCTGTCCAGATGTTTTTCACTGCCAGCAGCAAGAAGCAACCCCAAGTGGTGTAAATGATAAGGCCATTTATACTGAGAGAACAGACAGGAGGATTCAGGGCCCATGGACAGAGTGAATCCAGTGTGTCCCCCGGGACCCAGATTCTCTCCAACCCTCTGCTCTGTGGTCTCAGTGGCCTAAACCTGCTGTCCCTTGAGTGAGAAGCTGGTCACTGGTAACAAGTCTCCTCGGTCATGTCCACATGTGGAGAAAGACTGGCTCCACTTTGTTAAAATCAAAGAGGCTTCCATCCCGCTGGCCTATCAGACTTGAGATAGGTCATTGGTCACCACCAGCTTCTCACCAAAAGCTGATACAGATTCATTAACTGCTTCACTTCCCTAAAACCAATCACTGGCAAAGTAGTGGGACTTCCGTGATTGGCTTGTCCTTGAACGAATCCAGCTCTTAGTACATGCTCGTATGCAGGCCTAGAGCCTCCGCTGGGTCGCCGTTGTATGTTTCCTTTGCCAGTGTCAAATGGAAGGAAAGAAAGGGCTCACATTTGGCCAACTAACTTTTTTTTTTTTTTTTTTAGAAATAACTTTTAGTCCTTGTCTAGAAGAAAGATCTTAGAATTGTGGTGAACGTTATTTCCTTATCACATGAGCATGTCCAGCCTCTATGCTGTTTGACTAAAAGTCAACCCTTTTCATTGTCGATGGCCCTTGCTCAAGCTGGCCAGCAGCCACATCAGCCAGCGCCGATGCTCAAGTGATTATTAGCTATTTCTGTGACGCTCGTGTTCAGGCCGACAATTAGAACAATGAGGTTTAAGGCTGGGAAGTGTGATTTCTCTGTGTCCTGTTCCCCTAGTCACCTGGAATTTAAACAGGTTTCCTGCTCCAGACTTCTGGCCAGAGTTCAGAGTTCTGTGGCCTTTAAATGGCAAGGGAAGGCTCATCCCAGGATTTGAGAACAACCTGCCATATTCCACCCATTTACTGTGGCTTCTCAGTAAAAATGGCCTTTCACCTTTGAAAAAGGTCATGGTTGGGCATTCAACAAATGTCTATGGAGCACTCACCAGTGCTAGACTCAGGGGATACAGGGAGGTGAATGAGATGAACTTGGTCTCTGGCCTTGAATTTTTTTGAAATTTTTTTTTTAAAGATTTATTTATACAAGAGCTGGGGTACAGGCCAGAGGCGCGGGAGGGTGAGTGGATTCACCAGAGACAGAGCAGGGAGCAGAACAGGCAGACTGACAAAATACACTGCTGAGGGGAGCAGCGGGTGAGACAGGAGAGGTCCGCCATGCCATGTGGGTATCTCCCCAGCCGGCCGGGATAGAACCTGCGCTGCAGAGACTGCGGACAGCTTCATAGTGCTATGCTCGACCTGCTGTGCCACCGGGGAGGTCCCTGGCCTTGAATTTTAATGAAAAGGATCACTGATAAAACAAAACAATAGAATTATGGATTATCGTCAACATGAAGGAAGAAAGAGATGTGGTACAGAGTGGGCACCAGAAGGCTGTTCTGAAAAGGTTTTTCAGATTTTTGAAGAGATCCAAGTATTTCTCTGGTCCAGTGTTTTTTTTTGTTTTGTTTTTTAAAGATTTATTTATTTATGCATACATACAAGAACTGGGGTGTAAGCCAGAGGTGTGGGAGGTGAGAGGATTCACCAGAGACAGAGTGGGGAGCAGAACAGGTGGATCTACTGAAATACACTGCAGCGGGCAAGTGTTTTGTGGGTTGCTCCCTGGCCAGACGGGTATTGAACTCATGCTGCAGCGGCTGGCAATAGCTTGATCGTGCTGTCTTTAACTCCTGCACCACCAGGAAGGCCCCTGGTCAAGTGTTAAACCACCTGAAAAGACAAAGCAACATATGGAGAACGAAAATAGCTCCTTTATCACCCATAAAGTCTTGGTTAGAAGTTGTAGCTTTGGGTGAGGATCAGAAAAGGCATTCAGGTAACTGTGACGAATTCTGTTTCCCAAAACAGCTATTCCAAGAACCCCCAACCCACATGCTCGTGTCACGTGTTAGAACATGGCATTGGGAGGTGAGGCTCACCTTCCTCTTTCCACCTGGGTAGACCTGTGAGTCTGGGGGAATCTGACTTCCGAAGCTCAGTCATAAAAGTTGGTACGGCATCGTCCTGGACCTCTGGGGATGCTCCCCCTTAGAACCCAGCACCATGCTGGGGCGACAGGCGGGAGGAAAAGGCTGAGAACCACAGAGATGCCACTTCCAGGTGGTGGCATTGCCCGACCATCACCAGGAACACTCCCCCCAGCCCTGCTTGTCAGGAGAGCAGACGCCTGAGCATCGAGACCGCTAGAGTTGGTTTACTGGATATTTTCTGCTGACCCAGTAATTAAAGCCATGAGTTTGGAGGAGATTCTTGGTAGGTGGAGAAGCACGAAACGCGAGACAGGTCCGGGTTTAAAGTGGGGGAAGAAGCCCAGGAGAGACCAGAGACCAGAGGGAGGGTGCTGGGGGGTGCGGGCTGTAAAACCAAGAGCAGGTGGGGAAGGACCCCAGGGGTGGGGAGGGTTTCAGCACCCAGGGTGTCCACGCAGCACCCCCATGCCAGCGCCTCCCCAGCAGTCCCCGCCCCTTCCTGCCTTCCTGGCCACATAAACCCAGAGTCCGTGCCCCGCGCCAGGGGCGCCCGCGCCAGCCATGCCCGCGGACCTCAGCGGCACCTGGAGCCTGCGCAGCAGCGACAACTTCGAGGGCTACATGCTGGCCCTGGGTAGGGTGGAGGGCCCGGGGCTGGCCCCCCGGGGCTTGGGGTTCCCGGGAAGGGGGCTGTGCCTGGCCTGGCCCGCTCCCTGTCTCCCCTTCCCCGGCCCATCTGTCGGCCAGTCCCCACTCTGCACCCCCTGGTTCTGTCCGTCCTCAGGCCCCTCATCCTCCTGCCCAGCCCTGTCCTCCCTCCCTGTCCCTCCCGGCTCCTCCTTTCTGCCCCTGCCCGGGCGCCCCTCGCTGCTCCCCACCCCCGCCCCGCCTTCAGTCCCCTGGCCCCTCTGGTACCCCAACCTCCGTGCCCCCTTCTGCCCACCCACGGCTCGGTCTCTGCCCGACTCCTGTGCGGCCGGGAGCCCCCGAGGGTGGGGCGCGGGGCAGAGGCCCCCCCGGGTGCGGGCGCGGGCGCGGGCGCGGGCGGGAGCGCCCTTGCCGGCGACCCTCGCCCCTTGCCGGCGACCCTCGCCCGCGGCCGCCTTCGAGCGGGGCTGCGGCTCTCCCGGGAGGCCCCGCCGGCGCTGTGGTCGCGGGGCGCCCTCTGGCCGCGAAGGGGGGCGGGTCCCCGCGGGGGCCGGGCGGGCGGCGGGGCCGCAGGAGGCTGGCGGGAGGCCCCGAGCCCGGCCTGCGTCCGCGGGCTTCGCGCCTGACCCTCTCCCCTGCGGGGGCGCGGGGCGCGGGGGGCGGGGGGCGGGCCCGGGCTTCTGGGAGGCCGCGCCCCTCGCCGACCCCTGAGCGTGACGCCAGCCCGGAGCCCGGCGCGTCGGCGCTGGGGCGGGGGCTCCGGCCTCGCCTGCCCGCGCGGGGTTCGGCTCCCCGCTCCGGCGCGGGGTCCGCGGGGCCGGCGCGCGGGCCGGGAGGGTCTCGGGTTTCCCCGCGCGGCGGGCGGGCGCCCCTCCCGGCCAGGCGCCTCCTTTGCCCGCACTGGGTCCCCTTCTCCAGACCCGCGGGATCGCGCCCCGCGGGTGCCAAGAGCTGCTCCCCACCCACGCGCGCCGGGAGCCCCGAGCAGGCGGGAGGCTGCGGCCCGGGCTGCTCCGGCTCCTTGTCTGACGCTGGGCCTCAGTTTCTCCACCTGTGAATTGCGGGGGGGGGGGCCCGGGGGGAGTGTAGCGGCGGGAAGAGACAGCGCAGGGTCTCTGATTCCAGCGGGCGGGTAGGAGGAGCGAGTCCTGGAGCCCTCGGTGGCTTTCGCAGACTTTTCCTGGGATTTACCAGGCCCGCGGCAGGCAGGGGCGCCGGGGGGCCCAGAGGCCTCCCAGCCCCCAGCAAGTCTTCACTCTGTCTGGGCTCTCCGGCCTCCTCTCCTGTTCTCTGCTTCTCTCGTGGTTCTCTCGTGGTTCTGCTCCTGCTGGCGTCCCCGTGACGCCGCCCTTCTAAGCCCAGTCTCAGCCCAGGTGAATCCCACCGACACCTGCCCACACCTCGCTCCAGGAGCCGCCGGCAGGCGTGCGTTCGGGGCTGCAAGGATCATCATCCATCCTGAGGGCGGGAGGGCAGAAAAGCCGGATACTTTTTTCCTCACCCTACAGGGAGCTAGTTTCTTTACATTGTGTTAACATAGATATGATGTAAAACGTGTCCTCTTAGCCATCCTGGAATGTTCCGGTCTGTGACTCAGTGTTTGCACGACCCCTGAGCGGGTGCTGGGTTCTCCTTGCCCCTTCTGCCCTGGAGCACCGGTGAGGAAGCCTGGAGCTGCTCCAGCTCCGTCTGAGCAGACCATGCAGAATCTCGGAGGCAGGAAAACAATCTCTTCCCTTTGCTCCTCTTGCGTCCCTGGGCTGCAGCCCTGCAGGTTGGACTTACAACAGACTTACAACAGATGCTGCTCTCACCAGCCTGGAGATGGCACCAGGAGAGGCTGAATAATAAACTTTACAGGGCCTCCCCTCTCAGACTCTGAGACAAGCACGTCTATTAGCACCTGCCTTTTGAGCACACAGGGCACTCACGATGAGTAACTCAAAGGGGTGGTGAGAGCTCTGCCCACGCAGCACCCCCGCAGAGAATGATGTTTTTGTAGGGAAGGGACTCAACAAAGGAAAAGGACTTTGAGCTGCTAAGAGCGGCAAATTGTGGGAAGGTAAATCCGTGGAGGACCTAATGGGAGCTTAGGCCTGTTTGTAAAGTTTGTTTATTTTTTTTTTATAGATTTATTTATTTATACAAGCACTGGGTACAGTCAGAAGCACGGGAGGGTGAGAGAATTCACCAGAGCCAGAGCGGGGAACAGAACAGGCAGACTGACGAAATACACTGCTGAGGGGAGCAGCGGGCGCAGCAGGAGAGGTCTGTGCGCCATGTGGGACCCTCGCTGGCGGCCGGGGATCGAACCGGCGCTGCAGAGGCTGTGGGCAGCTTCGCAGCCCAGCGCTCAACAGCTGCGCTACGAGGGGAGGCCCTGTAAAGTTTATTATGCAGCCTCTCCTGGTGCCATGTCCAGGCTGGTGAGAGCAGCATCCTCTGCCGTGATGAACTTGTCCTTCCTGGTGGAGAGGGCACAGTAGGGGGGACAGCTTTACAAATGTGTGTCCTGCTCTTAGGCAAATAGTGGGTAGAGCTTTTCTTCTATCTGCTTCTTCCTAATTATTTTCAGCTCAAAATAATCCATTTGCCAGAGTGGCACATTTTGGCATGGCACATCCTGTCACCTGCAATTTTAATTTTGTTCCCTCTCTTTCCAATTCATACTCAGGTGTAGAAACTTATTCTTCCCAAGTGGTAAGGCCTGTTATTTTACTGACCTTCCCATCCCCCAAATGAGTGATGCCATGTGACCAGAAGTCTCCCCTGTTTTCTTTGGGTCCTGTCTGGCTACTGGCGTGGTGGACAGAGTGTTGAATGTCAGGTGTTGGCTTCGGATCCTGCCTTGCTGGGCATCCTTTTCTGCCACTCCCAGGGCTTTCAGGCCAAGCCTCCAAGAGAAGAGCAGGGCATGGGGTCCCGGCAACACTTCAGCTGTGGGGAAATTGTGTGCGATATCTGTTGTGTGGGCGGCTGACCTGGCATCACAGGACACCTCTGTGTGCGCTGACCAGTGCTTTTCAAGTGCCTTAGTGGAACCCTTCCCCTTCCCCACTAGGGTTTGCTTCTCTGTATGTTCTACTACCACCCCTTATTTGATACTTGCCCCCATGATTTCAATAGATGTTTATCAATTGTCTGCCACGATGTTTAATCCTGGAAGCTAACAGGAGCTATTTATTTGTATTACTTACTTGTTTAAAAAAAGATTTATTTATGTATACAAGAACTGGGGCACAGGCCAGAGGTGTGGAGGGTGAGAGGATTCCCCAGAGACAGAGTGGGGAGCAGAACAGGAAGATCTACTGAAATACACTGCTGAGGGGAGCAGCGGGCGAGACAGGAGAGGTCTGCCACGCCATGTGGGTAGCTCCCTGGCCGGGGATCAACTCTTGAACTCATGATGCAGTGGCTTCATAGTGCTGAGACTTAGCCCCTTGTGCCACCAGGGAGGACCTGCATTGCTTACTTTTTAATTCACTAGGCAAGTCATTTCAGCATCCCTCCTCGGGTGGGAGCAGAGTCCCTTCTTAGATGGCACTTAGATTAGCCTCTTTTCACCTTCCTCTTTGGTTGTAAGCCCCTCAAGGGCAGGAACTGCACATGTGTGGCTTTGCTTTCTCTCCCACTTCCCATCCATGCCCACCCACCCCAGTAAAAGGTGCTCAAATTCATTTGTTTTGTCTGGAGAAAGGTGAGGTGGCTCCCAGCTCTGAGAAAGCATGTCTTGCTTTCCAGCTGCTCTGGAACCTTCACCAGCTTTAATCCATTGACCATTAGGTTCTCTCTATATGGTAGGTACCACAGGGAAGGTGCCCACAATGCCTGGGTCTTCTTATTCCCGTGGGGAGGTTGGCACCTTTCCGGCCCAAGGGCTCTGCACACGCTAGGCATTTACTACATATCTAAATTGAAAGAGGAAAAAGTAAATGATAGAAAACATCATGCCAATGAAGGAAATGATTGACATATTTCATTTTTTAAAACATCCTTATAGTTCCTTTTAAATTAGGGAGAAAATGCCGTCCTTCGATCAAAGTAGATAATAGAGACATTACATCTAAGCATTAAGCAGCCACCCGTTTAAACAACCACTTAGTTTGTTAAGGAGTGAGGACATGATGACAAAATAGAGATGTTATAAGCACATAAAATGGGACATATAAGTTAAAAAGGCAATTATGAGATCTGTGGGGTTAAATTGTCTACAGAGGGACTATCCGAGGGATTGTTTTTCAAATTATAATATTGATGATACATCAGCCAAGGAGTTTTAGAATTATTCAGGGTTTAGGAGGGATTGTTGGCTTTTCTTTTACACAAGGATAGTTTTCAGACCAGTATCTGGGAGGTCAGTTTAATTCAAAACAATTTTCAGAAAACCCAGCAACTCTGTTGAAACCTTAAAGCTAGTTTAAGTACAAAGTTTTTGTATTAGATTTTTAACACTAGAATGACTATTTACATGATACATAAAATGATAATATTAGATAATTACATAGTATGAGAAATATTACATTTTCTCTTAAGAATTAAGTTAACAATCCTGGATATTACTGGATCACTTAGATATACAATTTATTTTAAATTTGTATACATATAAGGAAAATACATTTAATTTTATAATGATGTGTTACACACATCAGATCTTTAAAATCTAGGGGCAAAATAAGCAATGGCCTCTTTTTTTTTAAAAGTAGAAGTGGGGTGAGTGCCTGTTAGCATGACAAGACTCAAATAAGTGATCAGAGAAGGCTCAGCAATGCATCTCATAATGAAGCCCCACCAGCATCTCTTTTGGGGGACAACTACTCCTTTTGGACTAGAACTGACCTGCAGCAATCCAAGATGACTCTGATAATGTCTCTCTGAGCTTTTTTAATTTTGTTTATAAAGATTTATTTATTTATACAAGAACCGGGGTACAGGCCAGATGCAAGGGAGGGTGAGAGGATTCACCAGAGACAGAGTGGGGAGCAGAACAGGCAGACTGACGAAATACACTGCTGAGGGGAGCAGTGGGCAAGACAGAAGAGGTCTGCTGCAGCTCACATTATATTGCAATTTCCTCTTTGAGTTCTTAGATTTGTCATATTAAATTGCTCCACTGGCCAGGGATAGCTCCCTGGCCAGGGATTAAACTCATGCTGCAGTGGCTGCGGAAAGCTTCATAGTGCTAAGACTTAACCCCTTGTGCCACCAGGGAGGCTCTGGACACTATTTTATTTTTTTTTATTTTTTTTTTTTTTTTTATAGAGGCATGCTTTATTTATTTGTTTGCTGGTTTGTTTGTTTGTTTTGTTTATACATGCACTGGGTACAGTCAGAAGCGCGGGAGGGCGAGAGAATTCACCAGAGCCAGAGCGGGGAGCAGAGCAGGCAGAAGGACCGAAGCACACTGCTGAGGGGAGCAGCGGGCGGCAGGAGAGGTCTGCGCGCCATGTGGGACCCTCCTCTGGTGGCCGGGGAGCAGCCGGGGATCGAACCGGCGCCGCAGAGGCCGCGCGCAGCTTCGCAACCCAGCGCTCAACCGCTGCGCCACCGGGGAGGCCCTGGACACTATTTTAAATAACAATCCTTGCTTCTAGCCATATGACATGTTGGAAATTAGGGTGATTGCAGCAGTTTTTAAGTCTCCCTCATTGTTGAGAAACTCTCCAAATGCTGTCTTAGTTTGAAGTGTCAATCCATGACACAGAAAATGGGGAGTGGCTGTGGTTGAGGCTGGCTTGGGGGCTAATCCCATCCCCTTGGCTTCCTTGTAGCCTCAGGGGGATTGCTCCAATGCCATTAGTCTTGGCATCTCATGTGGATGTTAAGATGTCATCTCTTTTCTTTCTTAAAAATTATTTTGAGGGCCTCCCTGATGGTGCGAGGGGTTATGTCTCAGCACTATGAAGCTCTTTGCAGCCACTGCAGCACCAATTCGATCCCCAGCCAGGGAGCTACCCACAGGGCTCAGCAGACCTCTCCTGTCTTGCCCACTGCTCCCCTCAGCAGTGTATTTCATTAGATCCACTTGTTCTGCTCTCCACTCTGTCTCTGGTGAATCCTCTCACCCTACACCTCTGGCCTACACCCCGGCTCTTGTATGCGTAAATAAATAAATAAAATCTTAAAAAAATTATTTTGAAAGGTGATGGTGCATGGTTAAATTGGTGGTGGGAATTTTATGGGGACTACACCTGAAAGGACAAAGCATACAAGCATGCATTGTACAAAAATGAACAATGATGGGGCCTCCCTGGTGGCGCAAGGGGTTAAGCACCGCACTATGAAGCAATCAGCAGCCTCTGTAGCATGAGTTCAATCCCTGGCTGGCTGGCCAGTGAGAAACCCATATGGCACAGCAGACCTCTCCTGTCTCGCCCACTGCTCCCCTCAGCAGTGGATTTTGGTCAGTCTGCCTGTTCTGTTCCCCACTCTGTCTCTGGTGGATCCTCCCACCCCACGCATCTCTGATCTGTACCCCAGCTCTTGTATGTATAAATAAATAAATCTTTAAAAAAAAATGAACAGTGATGAAATATATATATAAATTTAAAAATTAAAAAAATATTTTGAAGGTATTGACTTTGCTACTCGCAAGATAGCCAAGTTGCTGAAGCCACAGAAAGTGATTGAGCAAAATGGGGATTCTTTCATCATCCACACATACAGCAGCTTGAGGAACTACCTTGTTAAATTTAAAGTGGGAGAAGAATTTGAGGAAGATAACAAAGGCCTGGATAACAGAAAATGCAAGGTAAAAATGAAAGCAAAAGAGAGGTTCTTCATTTTTAGGTTCTTCATTTCAACTGACAGTCTCCTTAGTAAGACCTGAGGATCCTGCCAGAGCAAACCTTTTTCTCCCCTCATTAGAGCTTGGTTACCTGGGAAGATGATCGACTCACCTGTGTCCAGATAGGCGAGAAGAAGAACAGAGGCTGGGCCCACTGGATTGAAGGGAATGAGCTCCATCTGGTACTTGCGGCATTTTGCTCTTTTTTTTTTTTTAAGTTTTATTTATTTATGCATACTAGATCTGGGGGTACAGGGCAGAAGTGTGTGAGGGGAGGGGTGTTGAGAGGAGTCACCAGAGACAGAGTGGGGAACACGACAGGCAGACTGACTGAAATCCACTGCTGAGGGGAGCAGCGGGTGAGTCAGGAGAGGTCTATAATGCCATGTGGGTAGCTCCCTGGCCGAGGCTCGAACTCATGCTGCAGTGGCTGCGGACTGCTTCATAGTGCTGCATCTTAACCCTTTGCACCACCAGGGAAGCCCTACTCTTCTTTTTGATGAGATGATAGAATAAAGAATGAAACAGGAGATCATTGAGAATCCCAACCCATCCCAGCTGTTTTCAATTTGGCAGGTCACCTTCCCATCTCTGTCAGAAGACCCTGCCTTTTCATTTACATAAAAACCTAGTCTGGCTTTTTCAATAATTTTCCTGTTGGATTCATCATGTAGTCATCAAATAATACAATAAGGTAGCAGACTGCATTATATTTCATCTGGTTGATGAGCCCTCATTTAGTAAAACATTTTCTTGAATGTGTCAGGGGGTGGTTTCAGTGTTTTTACAGAAACAGTAATGTTTCTGCTGTTGATTAAATTCGCATACACAGAGCCTTTTGCATCCATGTATATAGTCCCTTAGGAAGAATTCACAGAATTTCAGAGGCTCGTATCCACACATCATTGCCTCCTGCCACTGTGCTGCCTTATTCACCTCCAAAAGAGTATCAATTTCTTATGCCGCCTGCACTGCTTGAATGTACAAATTCTAGCGCAATCTAATCAATGATTTCTAAATATAATTTAGAAGGCATAAAGGCTTCTGAGGCTTCATAATAGCTTTATAAAGGAGATTTCCTTCCTGCCATATATAATGGCTTAATTTTTCAGTGAGTGCTGATTTTGTATCCAATTACTATGCTAAATCCTTTGAGTGAATTATCTCACTTAGTCCTCAAGACCATCCTGTGAAAGGGCCACTATATTTCCCCTTTACAGATGAAGAGATTAAGACTTAGAAATTCCCCAAAGCTGCAGTGTGGAAATTCAAACCCAGACAAGCATGTGTGATGGCAACTCTATGCCTATTTTTCCCCTAACTCTTTGTAGGTGTAAAACCGCAGTGAGATTCATGGAAATGACACTAAGTACTTAGGTTAAGGTGGACTCTGGGTGGTCCTTGAGGGTCTGGGTAGCCTGATTATAGAGGCATTGGAGGTATTCTGGTCATAAATGAACACATCTCACACCCTGCTGACCATGAAAACAATGGGTTGGGACGCAACCTGTGACGCTAGTAAGGAACTTGCTGTCACAAAATGTAATAGGCACCTGCCACGGAACATCCCCATCTGTTAGAAGGTTTTGATGAGTTGCTGTAAGGAGGCGTGTGTCCGGCCTTGGAGCTTCCGGGCACTCTGTCCAAGCAGGGCACAGAAGGACCCTTCTCTAAGGACACTCAAGGGATAATCCTTACCTGCTGTGATACAGTAAGAATGACAGATTTGGTCTTTGTCCCTGGTTCCTGAAGCCCTTGGGATCTCCAGTCATAACAGTGTTTTCTGTCTGCTTATGAGATGACTGGTGGCGGGGCATCCCTAGATAGATTCAGCATGGAGACTGGTCCCCAGGAAGATCATGATCGCGGCCAGTGATGTAATCCATCAGGTCTGTATAATGAGACCACCCAAGTCCCCACATGATGGGGTTCAGAGAGCTCCTACCTGCCTGGTGAACAGATTGATGTTCCATTGTGTCTCCTCCATTTGTCTGTTCCTGAGTTGTAGCTTTATTTTTTTTGAAGATTTATTTATGCATACAAGAGCTGGGGTACAGGCCAGAGGTGTGGGGGGTGAGAGAATCCCCCAGAGACAGAGTGGGGAGCAGAACAGGCAGATAGACTGAAATACACTGCTGAGGGGAGCAGCAGGGAGACAGGAGAGGTCTGCTGCGCCCTGTGGGTAGCTCCCTGGCTGGGGATTTAACTTGTGCTTCAGTGGCTGCAGATAGTGTCATAGGTTGCGTCCCAACCCATTGCGCCACCAGGGAGGCCCTGAGTTGTAGCTTTAAACCTGTAAACCTGTGAGAAAGGGTGTTCCTGTGCTCTGCAAGCCATTCCAGCGAATGGCTGAATCCCAGCCGGTCAGTCAGCACTATGGTGGCCCCTGATGTCCTGGGAGCTCGCGAGTGGCAGTGGAGGTGGGCCAGTGTCTCGTGACACAGAGGGTCTGCACCAATTCCAGTCACTAGTGGAACTGAATTACTGGACACACCGTGGGTATCAGAGAGCTGGAGAAGAAGCGTTGGAGAAGACGCCACACATCGCATGTCCAAGAGTTGGGGGTAACAATCACAACACACCACCTGCCTGCTCATCTCCTCCCTCCTTGTCCCTAGGAAATGTTCTGCGAAGGCCAGGTGTGCAGACAGACCTTCCAGAGAGCCTGATCCATGTCCAGCAAGAGTCCACATGTGGCTGAGCCTCATGGCCACTTATATTTCAGAACGAGCAGGTGCCAACAACCTGCCAGAAGCCACTCAGATTGTGGGAAACTGCTCAATAAACCTTCTGGGACTCCGGTGTTTTCTTTCTACATTTAGTAAGACCTTTATTTTAAGAAATGCTGGAAGCCGTTGAGGTGCGCCTTGGACACGGTGAATGAAATTTCATTCCTGCCTCAAGTGTACCGAGGAAAAAGGACAAAGCAGGTTGTGTGAACGGGTGCCAAGTCCAGGCAGCTCTGAGAGTGGAGGAGGGGCAAACCTGGCAGGGGGGGTGGCAGGGGTCTGGGTAAAGGAGGTGATCTTGAAGCTAAGACCTGATGCATAGGTCATCAGGAAGATTGGGATGTGCTCTAGGTGAAAGGCTGGGGAGAAGGTGGAGGGATATTTGGAAAACAGAAAAGATTGCTGTGGTTGGCACATAGGCTCCATAGCAGGGGACATAGGCTCCATGGCGGGGGGACATAATAGGGCCTGTGAGGGGCATAGGGCACATGGGGGAGCATAGGGTCTATGGGAGGGCATAGGAGCCATAGAGGCATAGGGTATATGGGGGGAGCACGGGTCTGTGGGGGGTGTATAGGCTGTATGGGGAGCACAGGGCATATGGGAGGGGGGAGATGACAGAGGAGAAGGAAATGACAGGCAGGGGTCCCGTCCTGAAGAGCCTTGAATGCCGGGTTAAAGAGGTAAGCTTTTTGTCCCCAAAGTCACAGGAAGTGGTGACAGGTATGAGCAGGCGATCTGCTTGGCCAAGTTGGCTCATCCAAGGGAAGTCCAGCCGCAGAGGGGAGGGGAGGCGTGTAGGTCAAACACTGGGAAAGGCCTCGGGGCTGGAGAGAAGTAGCCATCACGTCAGAGTCAGAACCCGCTGTCCAAGGTGATGGTGTGGGCCGGTGGGTGAGGGGTGGGCCGATGGGTGAGGGCTGGGGCCGGTGGAAGGGGAATAATCAAGGAAATGCCCTGGTTTCGGTTCAAGTGGCTGCGGAAGAATGAAGCTCGTGAGAGAGGACAGCACGGCAAAGGCAGGGAGGTGGACCTGCAAGTTCTGGTTCTAGGTGAACATGCGCAGCGCGAGGCCGGCCGCCAGGAGACAATGACTCGGGTTATCCGGAGCCACGCACAAGCTGCCAGCACCCACCAGGCGCCTGGCCGACACCGTCCAGGACAATGGGTGTCCAGCGTGGGGCGGGAAACCTGCAAAGAAAGGGTGGCCTTTCTTTTGAGAAACAATGGAGACAGGGAAGCTAGGGGGGGAAGTGTCTCAAGGTCAAGGGTGAGTTCAGCCCTGGCTGAGACACCCGAGGACCGCAAAGGCAAAGTGCAGGATTTTGCCACCTTGGTGAAGAGGATTCAGGACAGAGCTGGGGCTGAAGCAGAACAGGGGGGACCTTGGATTCAGAAACCACCTGGAAGACAGGCAGAATAGGACCCCAGAGTCTCCTGGGGCAAGTTAGGAAGGGTGCATGTCTTCTGAGCACCCATAGGTGCTAGACTTGAAACTGGGATTTAAGGGTTCCATGGAGAACGTGGAGCGAGGCCTGTTTCTTTAAGGAGTCTTTCATCACCGCTTGACTACTCACTGGGGAACCAGCCTGGGTATCAGATGTAACTTGTGTTTTGTTTTGTTTTTTAGATTTATTTATTTTTATACAAGAACCAGGGTACAGGCCAGATGCGCGGGAGGGTGAGAGGATTCACCAGAGACAGAGCCGGGAGCAGAACAGGCAGACTAAAGAAGTACACTGCTGAGGGGAGCAGCAGGTGAGGCAGGAGAGGTCTGCCGTACCATGTGGGACCCTCGCCGGTCGGCCGGGATTAAACCGGCGCTGCAGAGGTTGCAGACAGCTTCACAGTGTGGCGCTCAACCGCCTGCGCCACCAGGAAGGCCCTAACTTGTGTTTTAGGTGGCAGAAGCCAGCGTGTTAGTCTGACCTTAATGTGGCAACTTTAGACCCAAATAAAGTCAGCGGTCAGTTGTGGATCCAATTGTATATGTGACCTCACCGAGTAGAAAGTATGTGAAGTTGTCCAGACAATTGCAATCAGAGAGTAAGTAAATGCTTTAGCTGAGGATGCAGGCCTACCTCGGAACTGGAGACTGTGGGCTGTGAGGACACCTCTTTCTAGAAATCTCTCTAACATAACAGCATTGTCTAGAGGCAATTTGAAAGGATAGGCTTTGGTGAGAAGAGAGCACTTACGGGCATTTATTAATTCATCTAAGGACCTCCTATTCCAAGGGCTACGCTAGTTTTTAGAATATAGAAGTGAACAGAATGGCACACGGCATGTGAGTAGGAGGAGGGAGTAATAGGATAAGTTTAAAGCCTAACACACCAGCTAGTTAGCATTTGTCTATCTTGACAAGAGAGTAAGGGGGACGGGGCATGTCCCCCCAGGTCCCTGGCTACGTGATACCTTGGCTGCCATGGCACCTTCTGGCAGTCAAAAAGCCCTGGTTCAGGCAGAATATCCGGGGGCACCTGGACAAATTGGCACCTGTGCCCCAAAAGAAACTCAGGCTCTTGAGTACCTCGAGACTGAGATTAGAATGAGGAACTGGAGGTGCTGGTTAAAGGCTTTTTGAAAAGTGACAAGAAGCAGAGCGCCAGGGAGACCTCCTTAAACAAAAAGGCTCCCCAAGATGCCAGGGCCGGGGTCCACATAGATTAGAGGGCTGGGGTTTGAGAACAGAGGAATTAACTTGACTGAAAGCAGCTGCCAGTCACCAGCAATAGTTCTCTGCCTTCCTTGGGCAAACCATAGTTCAGATGAAGCGTGGACTTAAGGAAGGGAAGTTCCTTTGCGACAGGAAAGGTTCCCAGGACAAAAACAGGACAGACGCAAGGATGCAACTTGGCTGTTCCCGTTGTTCCTGCTGGGCTGCTGAACAAGAGGTTAAGTAAATCCACAGCTGGGTGCAAAGGCTGCTGCCATAAATGTCCTTGACCCACAGTGGTTGTTTCCCAGATCCCCAGGCTGTGCATTCCTGAGCTCACCACGCTGGCTACTATGGGGGAGCAGCTACAGATATGGAGACCAGACAGGGCACCCTGAGGGGTCACCCAGAGGAGGTCGCCAGCCCTGACCTGCAGCTGAGCGGCCCTCACCATCAGCAACAAGAAACAACCCACAGGGCCTCCCCGGTGGCGCAGCGGTTGAGCGCTGGGTTGCCACCCGCAGCCTCTGCAGTGCCGGTTCGATCCCCGGCCCCGGGTGAGGGTCCCACATGGCGCGCAGCCCTCTCCTGCCGCCAGCTGCTCCCCTCAGCGGTGTATTTCGTCTGCCTGTTCTGCTCCCCACTGTCTCTGGTGAATCCTCTCACCACTCCCCCCCCCAACTATAGCCTACACCCCAGTTCTTGTATCCATAAATAAAAAATAAATCTTAAAAAAAAAAAAAAATCTCACCCCCTAAAGCAGCTCACAAAATCCTGTCTGTTTCTTCAGGTAGCTCTTTGTTGTTGTTTTAAGATTTGGGAATTAATGAAAGGCCCGCGGCTCTGCCCCCAGGAGACCCCTGGCCCGCAGCGCCCTGGAGGCTTCTTTGGGCCCCGGGCTTCCTCCCCAGCAGGAGAGGCCCGGCGGGCGGGAGGGCTGCGCGGCTTGTCCCGGGGGGCCCTGGGCGGCCGCGGGGCCCGCGTCGGTGTCTCCCGCGGGGAGGCCGCGTCCAGGCGCGGGCGGGCGTCGGCGCTCGGGCGGCTCATCCCCCCCAGGCTGCTGCAGCGCCGCCGGGCGGGAGAGCAGCCTCGGAAGGTCAGGAGCGGACCAAGGGGACACAGGGGGCTCCTCCCGGCGGGCTCCGCCGCCCCGCGCGCAGAGCAAGCTGCTGGGAACTTAGGGATCCCGCAGGCTGGGCGCGCGCTGCAGACCCGGCGCCCCGCGCCCCCGTCGCCGCCCGGAAGGCGTGGCGGGCCGGGCAGGAGAGCGGGGCCTCGGGGTGCGGAGATCAGGGAGGGCGGAGCAGACGCCGCGAGGGCGCCGGCGGCGGGTCTCGAAGGCTGGGGTGCAAGCCGGGGCCAGGGCGCCCCCTTCTGGGCCCGCCGCGCGCACCCTCCTCTCAGATTGTCAGCGTTTAAAAAATTGTGTTAAAATACACGTAACGAAACATTTACAATTTTAACTTTTTTTAAAAAAAAGATTTATTTATTTCTGCATACGAGAACTGGGTATCAGGCTTTTCTGCCCTCCCGCCATTAGGATGGATGTGGGATCCCTGCGGTCCTGAACACATGCCTGATGGCGGCACCTGGAGTGGGGTGTGCGCATGCGTAAGTGGGTACAGCTGTGCTGAGAGACTGAGCTTATAAGGGCGGCGTCACCGGATGCCAGCAGAACCCCTAGAGCAGAGAACAAGGCCACAAGAGAAGGCCAGAGAGCCCAGAGTGAAGACTTGCTGGGGGCTGGGGGGCCTGCCAATCTCCCGGCCCCCCAGCATCCCTGCCTGCCGTGTACCTGGTAAATCCCAATAAAAGCCTGAAAAGCCACTGAGGGCTCCAGGACTCCTCCTTCACTCCATCTGCTCGCATCATAGAGATCCTGCTCTGGCCCTTTGTAGGGTAAAGAAAATGTCAGGCTTTTCTGCCCTCCCGCCATCAGGATAGATGATGGATCCTTGTCCTGAGTGCATGCCTGATGGCGGCACCTGGAGTAGGGTGTGGGCATAGGTAGATGGGATTCACCTGGGCTGGGGCTGTACTTTTAAGGGTGGTGTCATGGGAAAGCCAGCAGAAGCCAGGAACGAATAGAAGTTGAACAGAAGCCGAGAGAGAAGCAAGAGAAGCAGAAGCAGAGAGAACGCCAGAGAGCCCAGATAGAGTGAGGATTTGCTGGGGGCTGGGAGGCCTGCCAGCCTCCTGGCCCCCCAACACCCCTGCCTGCCATATGCCTGGTGAACCCCAATAAAAGACCTGCAAAAAGCCACTGAGGACTCTGACTCCTCCTTTACCCATTCTGCTGGATCAGAAATCCTGCTCTGTGGTCCATTCCTGACCTTACACCCTTCCTACCTCTGCACTGGGGTACAGGCCAGAGATGTGGGGGGTGAGGATTCACCAGGGGCAGAGTGGGGAA